CTCTCTCTCTCTCTCTCTCTCTCTCTCTCTCTCTCTCGTTGCCTGTGCAACCTAAATTCGATCTGCAATTGTACCCGCAGTTGTACAATTCTTTTGCAACTGTGTGCCATCAAACTCTTTTTCTTTGTGATCTTTGCGCTTTCTTTTCTGACCAGCTGGCATTGATTTCTATTTTCGCTATTGTCCCTCATCATTTTTTTTCGTGCACCTTTGCAGTCCTTGTCTACAAATATCGGCCCCACACCATCTGTAGCACTACTTTTCTACTCTTTTCAACATGCCATTCATCGGCTTTCTTTCCTCATTTTCTCCCTCTTATTTTTCCACACTTCCATGTCCTTGTTTTGCTCCTATGAGTATCATTCGGAATTTTTTCTGAGGCTTAGCGAGAAAATTTTTTTTGAATTGTGTGGTTTTTGTCACTTTGGGCTGGCTAGAGGAACGTACCTTGATCACCATAATCCATGTTATTATCATCATTTTCTTCGTCCTGATCATGTGAAGAGGACTCTCCCTCGTCGCTGCTTGGGCGATCTCCTCCTGCAGACTCGGCTGTAGAGTCTATATAATGAAAAATCAAGTATGAACTACCGTCTTCGTCGTCGTTACCATCGGACGAGGTCGAATCCTCTTCATTCTCTTCATTCAGTCCCAAGCTGCATTGTTAAAGGGTTAAATTTTTGTAATCGTGACAGTTTGCAGCTTACTCGACAATGCGGATCATTGCCCTGACGCGTTCTACGCGGTCCGCGTACTTACGCTGCTCTTCCTCTGCGTACAGCGCCAGCTTGTTGTACGCGTACGCACAAGCCATGACATAGCTGTCGTTGTAAGTGAGCAGCTGAGTTCTGGGCTTGTGGCCTAAATTGGGTGCAGTCTACGACTTCAGATAAACAACCTATTGCTGGGACTAAAACTTACCTTCAAGTACAGCGCATTCGGGATCGACATAGTTCTGGTACGATGCTGCTAGGTATCTTTCGTACTGCAGCCGGGCAGTATCATGCCTTGTCTGCAACAATCTGTTCCATAAATTTTATTGAAGTTGTTTTGTGAGTTACCGTGTTGCATGAGACTCGTAAAGATCCTAGACCAGAATCGACCAGAAACCTCTTCATTAGCCCGATCACGGTCGCTTTGGTGACTGCTTTACCATTGTATCCAATAAAATATGTTGACGTGGGAGTCTCGATGGATTTTCTGTCCAATCCATGCTTTTC